CGCGCAATCGGGGCCACCCACACCGACCGCCCCACCTCCGGCTTAGGGGCGGGCAAGCCTAGGCAAAAGATATGCCAGCCCATGGAAATCAAGCTCTGGAGTCGGTTCGCCATGGTGCGCGAGATCTGCTGAACGGACTTGGCGGTCGTCACGAGGATTTGCGTCTGGTGGAAGAAGCCGGAGACCGCGCAAAGTCGTGGGTCGGCCACGTGAAACCGGGCCACAACGCGGATGAACTGGCGCATCGCCCATTGGATGTGCCCCAGCTGGTTTTTATGCCAGTACACACAGGCGACATTCGTGCAAGGGGCGTGCTCCCCCTCAAGCAAGCATGGCTCGTCGAAAAAAAACGACGACACCACACATCCCTCGGAACTATTCCATGAAAAAAGAGGCACAAAGGATTTCAAAAACAATCGGATCTGCGCCTCATCCACGTCACCATGTAATGGAAACCCGAAGTGTCGTCCAAAAAGATGGAGAAAGTGAACCTCTAACGGACACGTGGAGACATCCATGGATTTTTGACTTTCGACAAGTAAACGAGACTCATCAAATTTGACCGGGTACGTGGGCGCACCTCGAGCAGTTTCAGAAAAGATTAGAGATCCAGCTATACTTTTTTGGTAGTAAACCTGGTTGCTGAGTCCCTCTGCAAAACTACTCAATTCTTTCTTCTCTTGTTCCATCATCGCCACGCCTTGCCGCAGTATAACCAAGGAAGACTCCATGTCCACCACCCTCTTTCTTTTCGTTTTCAACATGTTCGTCAAGAAAATCAGTCGTTTCTGCACCACATGATTCCACTCGACTATTTTCTTAATCGGTGTGAAGGAACTCATTTTATCGCGCTCCTGGATTTGGCGCCGTAGATCCGGGTGCATCCAGCTCGATGAGATAGGCAATATTTTAATGTAGGAGTCCATTTATTGGAATATGAATATCCATACTCATATAGATCTATTCCACCGGAACGTGATAAGAAAGAAAAACTTAAATAGTGTGTTCTTTAGCTGTAACTAAGCGCGTTGCGGTGGTTTTATTGCCTTGCTTTCAATAAGCTTGCCAAGTAGATAGGAATAAAAGCATTTTGATTTTAAGAAAATGCATACAGGAGACCTCAAAAAGGGTACTGACAAAAGAGCCTATTTATCTCAGCTCAAGCAGAAAATAAGCACGGAAAAATATTTGATGGGAGAGAAAAGTGTCCATCTAGTTTTATACGAACACAAAAATAATGTCTCCTACCGAAACACAACCGATAGAAACCCTCTCTACCTTAGAGTTCACCCTTCACAATACACAGGCAATTTCATCCTTATTTAAGGGAACCTGAATATCAAAAAAAAAGGAAAAAATGAAAAGAACATCGCACCTATCTATCACACTCAGAGAAAAACCTATTGAATAAAGAAAAATAGATCCTTTTAACGATATAAGTTAGAACGCGAAACGAGGGTACCATTTACCACTATCACTTTTCTATTATTTACTATGTAAGTAAATACCCAACATCACCTCCTCCATCTGTACCTTATATTTGAAATTTACTTGGAAGAGGGATAATGCTAAGGACAAAAAGCTATTTTTGAGAAATGCAATACACAAAGAGCAAAAGCGTGTGCTGATAATTAATCATGTCCCCTATAAAATTGATCATAGGGAGATTTTGAGGAAAATGTGCAATTGTATTGCAAGGTAATCTTTAGTACCGATACCTACACGCTCTCCCCTTTACCTACAGGGGAAGAGAGAACAGAATGATACATACTAGAGGCTGCCCGTCCTAGATATTTAGATATTGTAATCCGAATTGTTCCGTCAACGAACAACCGTCAACACCTCTGCAAGATCAAAAGGTTCAAACGGATAGCCATCAGCGGCATAAAACTTATTGTTGAACTCCACCCAGTGAAGACGCAGCGCATGCAAGAAAGCAGACAATGACTCCATCCCCAGCAGCACGGTGAGGGTCGCCGCCATCCACACTGCGAAGCCAAAGAAGACGATCACTCCAGAACCCCCATCCAAGTTGACGGCGGAAAGAAATGAAAAATTCCAAAACACCTCAGAAAGCTGTGAATGGGCTAGTGAAAGTGCCCACAAACGTAGATAGGAAGCCGTATTAGAGATACAGCCCAGAATATACTCGATAGTATGGATTATTTGGTGTATTATCACCTCGCCAAGCTGAAACTCCTCCTCCACCTCTTCCATTTCGTCGTCGAAAGAATGGTGGAGGGTGCGGTACCGCATCGTATCATTGTACTTCTTCTTTTCCATGTAAGGTTCGATGCATAATAAGCAGGGTACGCACATCGCGGAAAGCAACAACAGCACCACCTGCAGGATTGCCTGGCCGGTAAACAAAGGCAACCGCACGGTTCCAGGGGCTAAAAAGAAATCCGTCATCGTCTCCAGTAGCGAGGGCGCCTCGTTCGCGTTCTCCCACGTGGTCAACCACTTAATAATGATGAGTAAGCACATGTAGCCAAATGTACAGGATAAAAACACCACCTCCGGTATAAAGCGGTACCACATCTTGATGGTATTGTTGAAGTAATGATAGTTAAACAGAGATAACACCACCCCCGCGGTCATCTGAACCACCCCAACAATCACGGAGCACTTCATCTTGATGGAGTTGTAGAACTCCAGCTTGTTCTCGGTCCCTTCCCAGGCGGAGTCGATGCCGAAGATCACCGGCGAGTCAGGCTTCAAGCTCGGACGGCCGTCAGGGTAGGATGGGCGAATCACACTGCGCGAATCATTCGGCAGCTGCTCAGGCCAACGGTAGCCGGAGGTGAAAATCTCTACCGAAAACCCAAACATTTCGTTGTACAAAAGCCCCATGTAGATTGCAAAAAGTCCCATGAACAGTAGTAAGTAGCGGCCGCCAAAAATCATGCCAAATATCTCGTTAAGTTGCTTTCCCTCGAAACTTTTCTCTTTGATCACCAAAAACGCGGCTGCAAGGGTGAGAATGAGACCATGGCCGATGTCCCCAAACATGATGCCAAAGAGGTATGGAAAGGTGATGATGGTAAAGACACCCGGATTGACCTCCTTATACCGCGCGATCGCGTAGCTGTCCACGATGCTCTGGAAGGACGCGGTAAATTTGTTCGTGCGGAAGTACGTTGGCGGCTTTTCCTTCACCATAACGCGCTCAATCACCGTGGCGACCTGCGCGCCGCTGAGGTGATCCGCTTCGATGAGGGCGGCGCGGATGTCGTCAAGAGCCCGCACCGGTGCCCACCCGCGCGCCACCGCCGTCGATCCGGTGAATTTGATCCCATTCATCGTCGAAAAGACCGCTCGCTCGGTCACCACCGCGCGATGCCATTCCTGCACGGACGACGCGACGCTCAGAAGGAGCCGCCACTGCCGCTGCGAAGACTGCTGAAGTGTCGCCGAGACGGTC